GCTGAGTATAGACATTGTTTCTCCATACAAAGGTAAACCTTCAACAGGCAGCCTGTCTTCTTTGGAATTAGATAGCTTGTTAATCGCAGCAGGATAATCTTCCATCTCCCCTCTCACTGGTCTGTAAGGGCTGATTTTACAAAAGTTCACTGATTTGCTTTGTTGTTGTTTGTTTGTTTTTTTAATTACACCACACTAAACTGGTTCAATCTCTCCAGAATAAGACTTTTATGGACCACTGATGAATTTGTTGGTGTCTACCCAAAAGCTCAGGAATACCCATGGAGGGCACAATATTGATTTTTGAACCGTGTTTCTAATCTATCCCAGGGCTCAGGGAACACTGAAGTGGTGGGGGCAGAAAGAATGAAAGAGCCAGAAGATGGGAAGGATTGCTGTGAAATGCTGTCCTTTGGACATGACATGGCTATAGCATTTATGAACTCACAGCAGCTGTGGTTTCATGCAGAAGATCAAACCGCTTAAAAAGTTCAGCATTGATTGGGTAGGAGATCCTCTTTCTTTTCTTCGGGTGGATGGTGCCATGACCCCAATAGATGACCCAATACTCAGGCGCATATGGACATCATTAATTGGATTCAGTGGATTGTGAAAAAAAAAAAAAAAGTCAGGAGGGAGATGTGATGGGAACAGTGTTAGTAGGAAGAAGAAAGTGGGGTTAGATTTGATCAAAATATATTCTATACATGTATGAAATTTTAAAAAAATAAAATTAAGGAGTATTAGATTTGGACTGGGACAGCAAGGATTTGAACTTAGCTCAGACCAGGCTGTTTTGGTGATCAAGAGTGTAGGAAGCACTCTGCAAACCAAAAGACATTATATGAGTCTTAGGCATTATTAATAAAAGTTGTGACATTTGAGCAGGTATTCAGAATGTCACCGAGAGCTGATTTTGTTTCCCAAAATGCTCCACATGAAGTTAATTTAAATGAATCACACAAAGATATTGACACAGCTAAGTTTTCTTCAAGTTTCTAGGCTTTTAAACTTTTTTTCCTAAATCCTTGAGATGTTGCCTAATTCAGTTCTTTCTCAACCAAATGACAAAGCAATTTGAGCATCTCACCTGCCATAGTGCAAGAGCATGGCTCAGCCTTAACACAAATGACATTTCCGTTGGTCTTTATGCTTTGTATATTCAGCCAGGTTTGTGGGGATCAGTAAACAAAGCTTGCTTTTCAACTCACTCTATCCTTAAAAAATTCATCCCTAAGGAGGACCTCCTCTATCAGTGGCCTGGGGGAGGGGCATGGGAAAAGAAGAGGGAAGGAGGGCAGGATTGGGAGGGAACAACAGAGGGGAGTACAGCTGGGATACAAAGTTAATAAACTGTAATAAATAAGTAAATTCATCCCTAAATTAAAAAAATAGATTTCTACAATGTCTAACTAAAGACTAAATCCCTGGATTCTCTTCAAAGACTATGTAAAGGAAATGCAATGAACAAGTGAATATTATGCTATTCCTATGCAGCGTAAATAAATAAATTTTATTGGCATGAGCTGGCAGCCACTTCTTTTAAATTAGCAAATTCAATTTTTGATTCCTGAAACTAAAGCATAGATTTTAAGTCTTATAGTTTGTGCTCTATTTTGTCACAAACAATTTGGAATTTTAAGCAAAAATTAATGATTTCACTCTATTATTATTTTCATTTTTACAAGTTCCCTTGCTCATCGCAATATGCATTACATAATCAAGCTGTGTGAAATGGAGCTCAACTGTTCGGTTGACATGCACACCTATTATGGGTCATCTTATTTGGTGATAGATATATAAATACCACTTCTCTAATGATTTGCTTCAGGGAAAACAATTTGTTTTGGAGTACCGTTGGAAACTGTTCCTCATGATTCAGTACTTGGTAAGGACACAGAAGATGAGAAAAGTCCCTGGTATAATTCTTAGAGGTAAGTCCTATGCACCACAGCAGCTAACAGCCAAGTAAATGTACTGAACACTTGAGATGTGTCTAGTCCCAACCCAGAGCTCAGTTTTAAATCTCTAATTTAGTTTTCTGAATGGTGAGCTAGAGCTAGTGGTTACTGTGGTGGCGGCATAGCTCCGGATTGTCACAGATGATGTACACAAGAGATTTTGTAAGGATTCGGTTTCCAATAGAACATGTTCTAGGAGGTTTAATACCTGGGAGATGTTTATTGGTTCTATACATAAATAGGGCTTGTTGTTCAGTGGGATTCAGGGAGCCCCTTGCTCACTCACAGGTTGGAGAATTGTTCTAGCATGAAGGAAAATTAAAAATAAAGATAGAAAAAACCTGTAGAAATCTGAAAGCAGACACTTCAGTGAAGAGATGAAAGGTGGCGAGTATCTGTTTGCCTATCCTGTGTACTTCTATTATTATGCTGATTGTGGTTTGATCTCAGGCTTTTCATTACTGGAGATTCAACCCAGGGGCCTCATACAGGCTAGAGAAGGACCTATGATTAAACTACATTCCCAGCTCCTGGGCAAAAAGCTTAAGTTTCCGTTAACTTAGGGACCTTTTCTGCAAGGAAGCAATTTTACTTTTTCATTCGTGATCTTTTAAAAAGTTTTATTTATTTATATTTATGTGTATGGGTGGTTTTGCTTGCATGTATGTCTGCGTACCTTGTGTGTTCCTGATGCCTGCAGAGGACAGAGGAAGCTAAAATTATTGATACAAATGAACCATCATGGAGGGGCTGGGAATTGAACCAGGGTCCTCTGGAATAATAGTCCGCAATCTTCACTGCTGAGCCATTATCTACAGCCCTCATTTATTGATCTTTTGTTTTGCTTTGTCATTGTAGTAGCCTAGCTCTCCTGGAACTCACTATGGAATGGTTTACAGTAGTTACAACTGAGTGTTTTAGCTACTGAAACCTGAGGTCTAAATTAGAGCAATGTGTTTGCTAGATCCATATGTAAACAGCTGTCTCAGTGCCTCATATACACAAACCAGCATCTCCATGTTCAAACCCTGGAGCTTCAGCTATTTCCTAGGAAGAGAGATAAACTTTAGATTGTAGGGCTATTGTGTTCATTTTACAATGCTAACCTCATATCATCGATCTAGAAAATTTCTAGAGTATCATTATTCTAGAAAAAGAATATCTTGTTATTCTTAACCTAGTTCTAGTTACAAATACATGGAAGATAGATATACTCTGTACTATATCACTAATGCCGATCCAAAAAAGAAAAAGAAATGTTTTAGAATAATGTTAACACAATGTTTCCTAGGTTGTTGAATAGAAAATAAAATGCTAACACACACACTATATACTATGAACTAGTTTCAAACAATATGCTTATCATCTAATATTCTCAAACATTAATGTACTTCAGGCTACCTTCCTACATATATTAAAAGCAATTCCAATGTCTATCACATTTGCCCTTCTGAATGAGGATCGAGCATCTTCCCTAAGTCTTCCTTGTTGTTTAGCTTTTAAGGAGTATAGATTTTAGTATGTTTATCCTATATGATATGTCTAATAACCACTTATGAGTGAGTATATACCGTGTGTGTCTTTCTGTTTCTAGGTTACCTCACTCAAGATGATCTTTTCTAGCTTCATCCATTTGCCTGCAAATTTCATGATTTTCTTGTTTTTAATTGTATTCCATTGTGTAAATGTACCACAATTTCTGTATCTATTCCTTTGCTGAGGGACATCTAGGTTGTTTCTAGTTTCTGGCTATTATTAATAGAACTGCTACAAACATGGTTGAGCAAATGTCCCTGTTGTATAGTTTAGCATATTTCAGGGCCTCTGAAAGACTCTAGTGGCTGAGGTATTGAAGCAGAGGCTGAAATTCCATGCATTTTGGGCAGAATGCATGGAATTTTATGAAAAAAGTGGGGAGATAAAAAGACCTGGAGGGGACAGGAGCCCTAAAAGGAAACCAACAGAGCCAAAACAAAAAACATAAAACAACCAACCAACCAACCAACCAAACAAACAACAAAAAACTGAGCCCTGGGGCCCCTGAAGAGAATGATACCCTAACAAAGGACCACATGGAGAGGACCTAAAACCCCGGCTCAGATGTAGCCCATAAACTCATTCTCCAATTGGGTCCCTAATAAGGGGTGCAGGGGCTGTCTCTGGCATAAACTCAGTGGCAGGCTCTCTGATCACCTCCCCACCGGAGCGGGGCATGCAGCCTTGCCAGGGCACAGAGAAAGACAATGCAAACAGTCCTGATGAGACCTGATAGGCTAGGGTCAGATAGAAGGGGAGGAGGACCTCCCCTATCAGGGGACTAGGGGAGGGGCATAGAGGGATAAGAGGGAGGGAGGGTGGGATTGGGAAGAGAGGAGGGAGGGGTCCACAGCCGGGATACAAATTGAATACATTGTAATAAATGATAATAATAATAATAAAAGAAAAAGGAAAAAAGAAGTAAAAAAAAGAGAAGGAAATGGAATAAAATAACAGCAAAATATAAGGAATATGTGTTGAAATGGAAGACAGTGTTAAAAATAAAACCAGAAAATAAAAAAATAAAATTCAACAGACACCAAACCTCAACATTCTAAACATATATGTTCTTCACAAAAGTAGCTATAACAGGCTAGAGAAAGTCATGAGAATGCCAGGAACGATGCTGCATTCTGCTTCATCACTTAATGACCAATTATGTTTCACACAGTGATTCATAAATATATCAGGTCCTTCCAGGAGTGACATGACTGGCGACCTCTGCACAGTGTTGGTGGTACTGGTTAATTAAACTGAACAACACATAGACCATTTCCTGAAAAACATGCTTTGTTGTTGTTGTTTGGGGATGAGACAACACCTGCTCAAATTTGAGACAGTTCATTAAAGTTTGACATCATTTTTTCTTTCTTCTTTTTTTTTTTTTTTAAAGAAAAAAGTGCAAGCAGTTCCAGGAAGCAATGAAGTGCAGCAAGTGGAAAATGACCCAACAAGCTCTCCTGGAGACAGATGTTGCCATCTGCCTGCCACAATGACATTTACCTGAATGAGGTTGGCAGCTGGGTTCCTTCTCTTCTCAAAATGTTTCTGGCGGTGTTGTTCCTGCACTTTTAACGCAAAACCAGAGCCAAGAATGCCCTGGAAGGAAACAAACAAACAAACAAACAAAATAATAGCATTTTAAAGAACAAATTTCTTAAACATCTCTAAAATGAATCTACAAAATAGACAAACAGTATTACTTATTAAAAATAAACCTACTATTTATCTTTGTTACAACACTGTCAGGTAATGGCAAGTTGTTGGTAATACTGTCCAAAGATAGTGACTCTTGTTTTGTGGTAAATCAACTGGGCATTATCTTTAATTGATCGGGTATTATAAGAAGTATCATATTCAGAAATAGAAATGATCATTAAATTCAAGTGAGTGGTCTCAAGTGAAAGAATTTGGGGGCATGAGCTCTGCTTTTGACTGGGGTGGGTTTTGATTCTGGGAGCTTTAATGTCTTGCTGTTGTAGCTATGAAGCTACTTTTAGCACGGATGAGACTCTGGGATTGTACATTCATCATATGCAAAATATGAAAAAATGGGGGTTGGGGTGGGTGAAGATCTGTTCCAGCTGTCGCCTTTGAAGAGAGGCTCTCAGGTTTGAAGCTGGAATTTTTTCCTGCCTGTATGACAAAAACAAGGCATGGCTCACTGACAGACCCACCCAATCCCCAGTTTTCCTCAGTTTTAATCTTTCAGATGTCTCATCTTTTTTTTTTTTTTGTTTTGAGTCACCAATTTGGAATTTGGGGTTAGTAAGATTAATATAGCCTCCTTTGTTTATGTCAGTTTTCAGTTTGTTTTGTTCTTTTGAAGGTTTGTTTTAGTTTAAATTATATGTATATGAATGTGTGTGCGTGTGTGTGTGTGCATGTGCACAGATAAGAGAATTCCAGAAGAAAGAGTCAGATATGCTGGAACCTGAGATAAGGGGGGGTTTCAAGCTGCTCAGCTTGGTGCTGGTAGCTGAACCCAGATCTTCTACAAGAGTAGAATGTACTCAGCTGTAAGCTAGCTCTAGTCCTGGGTGTTCTGTTCTTGTTGCTAGTTTTGGTTTCCTTTTGCTTATTATCTTGAACTGTGAAAATTCTGGTTCTTTGATGTTTACCTCTCTTTTTAGTTTGTTTACATCTGATGTTTGTGAAACCAAGATGCCGTTTGTCTCAACCTTGGGTTCACATTCAGAGCTTGCTAAATTCAGTCTTTGGGCTTGGTCTGTGTTCTTGACTTCTTTATGTGATGCTGGGAGCACCAATGCTTTCAAGCCTGTGGATTTTATTTGCTAGCTATAAATTATTAGCCTTTTATTAAACTTCAAGGAGTCTAGCCCACAGGTTAGATATGGGCATCTTCTTAGCACTAAGTCAGTATCATCTGCAGGTAAGAAATGCCCACTTCTCATTTGCTCAAAGGTGATACCTCTTGGAGAAGTGGTGGTTGTTTAAAAATTTATTTTATCTTATTTTATTTTTATCTCTAGACGGCATTAAGTCTTGGCCATGAGACAACTTGGATGAGATATTTTTGAGCTCTAGATAACCTTTGACCTTCCATCTTTTCTTGAGATTTCACAATTCTGAGCACATTGGTGACAATAGCCAATAAGTAATACAATCATGTATTTAATACAGAATTGTAAAACAATACTATTTGCTACTAGTACCAATGCCCTCCTCTATTATTAATTAGCATAAATGAATGTGCCCTCCTGAATTAAATCATGGGTTCTGATTTCTCTGTCTTCCAGTGCTTGTACTGTCCTGTACCTCAATATCATAAGGTTGTGGTTATATAAGCTAAGCGTTATAAAACCTGCTTTGTATGATCTTGTTTATAGATTTAAATAATAGTCCCCTCAGTATCACAATTACTTTACCCTTTCAAATCCAGATCAACTCTAGTCGTTTGAACCTTTTTGTTGTTGTTGTTAAATGAGACTATTTAGGAAAGAGCAACTGATTTTCCTTCTAAGTTAATTTCCCATGAAGTGTAAACATGTAGGAGAGAACAAAAACCATCTTTATAATATGTGTAATGTATATTATGTGCATTACTTACTCTGAAAATAATTCAGAATTTTTACAGACATTGGGTTAGAAGCAATAGCTATCATTTTTGAGCATTAAATATATGAAGAAAAGGTTCAGAGTTAACTCTCCTTTTGAAAATGAACACAGATCCTACATAGCACAATTTAATGTCTACAAAATAATTGAAAATAACACATAGCTAAAACTCACACATAGCTTAGAAACATATTTTAGTAGCTGGCAACTGTTTATTGAATGTCCCTCATGCCAGACTGCATATTACGGTCCTCTCCCTGTTTCATTATAGCTCTATTCCAACCTTCTCCCTCCTCTGTTTACATGCAGGCCAGGGTATCCACACAGAAGTTTGTTATGCAATTCACATAGAGGCATGGCTTCATCTTTTACTATGTGTGCCATCTCTTCACATACTGACAATAAATGCAAGTTCCTTCAAATCAACTTTTCCTAATTTTCTAGTCTTACAGCCATTACAATTCTAGGTTTTAAGATTTGATTCTAGGGGAGTGGCATGCATGCAGAAAGGGGAGGGAGGGTGGGATCGGGAGGGGAGGAGGGAGGGGCTTATGGGGGGATACAAAATGAATAAAGTGTGATTAATAAAAAATTTAAAAAAAGATTTGATTCTAGGCCAGTAAATGCCACATAAATACCAAGCAGGAAAAATACTTTGACAACAATTCAAAATATTTATTGCCTCCTCATCATTCAACTTCAAGGAGCCCAGTTTGTACCCTCAACACAGAAACCACACTAGGCTGTCTTTTAACACTTGTTTACATTTTGCTATCTCTTATAATTATAATCGTTAGTATTTTTAATGACTGCAGAAAGTAGCGAACATGTGCTTGTGGAATAATTAATATTTCAATTCAAACAGAACCATTTCTTTCACTGAACTTAAACCAGCAGGATATCTGAAGGAATTCAATCTCTACGAAGCCCAATTTCTTCCTAATAAAAGCCACTTACAGCTAGGGTATCCAGTAGGAGGAGAGAGCAAGACCTGCATGTGAGGATGCTACATGGAAGTCAGGTAGGCCTGCAGGAGCTCAGTAGTCTAGGACTGGAGGAGGCAACATACAGGGGCTCTTGGGATAAAATGGCCTCTGGGCCTTGTGATGTGCAACAGAGTTCTTCTGCTGTCAAGGTAATATGGAAAGCCATGGCCACTGAGTTTCCTGGGTTGTGGGAACCCTAAGGATGAAAGGCTCACAGCTGTCTTCTACCTTTCTGTGGTCCTTTGACTAAGACTGGCCTCCAGAGGCTGTTATGTTTTAATGTGTATTTGGTTGGGAGTGGCACTCTTTGAGAAGGATTAGGAGGCTTGGCCTTGTTGGAGGAAGTGGGCTTTGAGCTTTAAAATGCTCAATGCCAGGGCTAGACTCTCTTTCTCTCTGCTTATGGACCAGGATGTAGCTCTCAGGTACTGTCCCAGCCCATTATGGATGGTTCCATCCCTGGGCTAGTAGTCCTGAGCTCTCTGAGAAAGCAGAATGAGCAAGCCAGTAAGCAGCAACCCTCCACAGCCTCTACATTAAGCTCCTGCCTCCAGCTTCCTGTCCTGCTTGAATCACTGTCCTCACTGCTTTGTTTTGCTTTTGTTGTTGTTGTTTGTTTTTTTGTTTTGTTTCTTTTTTCTTTTTTTTTTTTTTTTTGAGACAGTTTCTCTTTGTAGACCTGGCTGTCCTGGAACTCTCTCTGTAGATCAGGATGGCTTCACACTCAGAGATTCTCCTGCCTCTGCCTCCTAAACGCTGGGATTAAAAGTATGTGTCACCCTCACTGCTTTTGATGATAAACTATTACCTAGAACTGTGAGTAAAATAAACCCTTTCCTTCCCATTCACTTTTGGTCCTGGTGTTTCTTCACAGCAATAGTAACCCTAACTAAGACGCTTTCCCAGCACAATGCTGATGCATTCTCCAAAATTTCAATCAGGGACCACTGTTGGCTGGCAGCTGTAGAGGACAAAAATGACAACTCAGCACCTAGCGTGAGATCACAGTAAAAAAATTCTCTGTAGAGGCTTCTTTTCTTGGCACTGTTAGGAAATGCTCTACTCAGCACAAGCACATTTTACTGATTTCTAACATAGGTTAATTTAATTTGTATATAAAAATGGCAATTACTTTATTGGAAATGTTTCCATGAATGTCTATATAGTCTCTCACCTGTGACCTAACATAACAGCACAGTTTAACCTCCCTGTAATGGCTCAGTTTCAATAGAAGAAGATCCTTACATATTACAGTGGGAGATCCTAACCCTGACTCCACCTGACCCAGGCTTCACACACTTTGAACACCTATCCCTGCTTGCTTATTGCAGAATTTCACTTCCTGTCCTTGCTGTTAGGGTACCAGTATCTCTTCCTGTGCAGTGTTTGTTCTGCTGGCCACTATTTTAACAGTTCATTTATCTTCGTGACCTCTGGGCAAACATAAACATAAATCAGCAGGTATTTAGTGACATTCCTTTTGGGAGAGAACCCCAAGACTGCATTTTACGGCTTCCAGAGGTATTTTTCTGTGTGAAATTTCATGATTGATTCTTTCTCTGTTCTTTTCTAAATTGTTGGGACAACCATAAAAGCTGACTTTGAGCTGGGTGTGGTGGCTCTGTAGCCTGGTCTACAGCTCAAGACAGCCAGGGCTACGTAGAGAAACCCTGTCTCGACAAAACAAAACAAAACAAAATAAAACAAAACAACAAAAAAGGTTTACTTTGGATATGGGAGACTGACCCCATTTGTCTTATATTACCATTTTGCATCAAGAAACATCTATTCTTATAGTCTTAAAAATTAAGGAGAGTTTTAGTTTTCTTCATAGTCATCACTTAATTTACATTATCACATTGTTCATTCCAATACATATCTGGACTCAATGATACTTCCTTATTATTTCAGTTAAGAAACATACTTAAAAAGCAAAAATAAAAACAAAACAAAAAAACAAAACACAGCCCAAAACAAACCATCACCGAGCCGAATTGTGTTTCTCCTAATTCCTCTTGCCTGTACTCCTGAATGTGAGTTATTTGGAGATAGAGAAGGCCTTCACTGGAGATCTTCTAGTTAGGATGAGGTCATTAGGATGGACCCTAGTCACATGAATGATGTCCTTATAAGATGAATGGACTTGGTTATAAATGTTGTAAAGACACATAAAGATGATGGCCTCTGTACCTCAAGGATGGAGGTTCAGACAGCACTCTCTCTCTTAGGGCCCTTGGAAGGGACTCACTCTGCCAATATGTGGATCTCAATATCTAGTCTCCAAGAGCCATGAGTGTAATTTCTATTGTTGAGGCTCCCAGTCTCTCATAGTACTCCTAACACACTAACATAGTTACACAGCTAGTGACAAATGGAACTCAAACTGAGGTGTGATAGACAGATTTGTGTATGATTGGTGCAGTGTCTTTGCCATGGTTGTGAGTGGTCTGGGTCTGAACCCAGCTGGCCAATGGAAAGTTGGGACCTGAGTGTGGGAAGGACAGGAGTGCCCGCTGAGGTCATTTTCAGTCAATGAATAAGCACTCAAGCCCCAAGCGCTGTGAGCTAAAGTCTGTGGTATTGAGAATCCCCATCTGATCCCTGTGTGCTCAGCTCTCTCTGGCTTATGCTCTCAGCTTTCAGTCTGACAGAGGTTTCATGTGGCATGGCCTGCTGCCTGGAGCAAAGATGAGACTATTTTTCTTAGGCACAGCTGCTGTGGATGGCCCTTCCCTTCTTACAGTTGGTGCCCTGATGCCCCGCTCCACCTTAGATGGAGCAGCCATAAATGGTGTCCGGGGGGGTAGAGGCAAATTGTAATGTCGTGTTCAACTGCCTTTCAAGAGACAAGAGGCTGAAATTATCAAAAAGTCAAGTTTTGTCCATTGAAGGGAAGCTAATCTGCTGCCCGGAGAAAGACAAATGTGTTCTTCATTCTGACAAAATGCAGAAACTGCTCATTAAGAAAAAAAAAATCAATGGCTGTGACACAGGAATAAATCATCTGACACATTTACAACAGTTAAGGTCAGGTGCTTTTTCATTCAAGTGTTTGGGAAGAGGAAAGAAGTCCTGTGCACATCCATCTTTTCATTTGTGTACATTATATACCAAATTGTACTAATCAGTTTAAATGAAGCTATCTTTAAATCTTTACAAACACTTAAAATGCATTAGTGGTATGTTGGACTGAAATAGTCTGAATTATTTGTTTATACATATCTAGCTGGTATTGAAAACTCAGGATCATACTTTGTACATCATCATCCTGAATACGTTAAAAAAATATCAACATTTATTAGAACGATAGTATCAGTCAATGAAATAGATAGTTCCTCAGAACACTGACGTGTGAGGGTTCACTCCAGTCGAAGCTGCTTTATTGTTGCAAAGATACTCACAGCAGGAAGTGCAAAGAAAGAAATGCCAAGGAGTGCGAAGCCTGCAGAGAGCAATCTTCCCAGCCAAGTTAGGGGCGTTTTATCTCCATAGCCAATGGTTGTCAGTGTAATCTAGAAACAAAGTCAATAGAACATCCAGCTTGAGTACTTAAGAAAGAAGTTAGGACCTAAGAACAGGAGGCAAAACAGTATTTCCACTAAGTTGTGACGCAAAAAGTCTTGGTGGCACATTCTATTACTGTGCTTTCATTTTCCGTGACGCATAACAGAACTTCTCTTTGTTTAAGGGAAGGAATAAACCTGCATATTTGATCCTGCTTTGCAATACCGTCTCTAGCTTGTCTATGTGTATTCACAGGACATTATCCCTAATGTGGAAGAGATAGCTCTGTGGATTTATGAGCTAGAAGTTCAAACAATGATTTATTCTAATTAAGATTGTCACTGGCGTTTTCTTAAAGCTTCGTGTGTTTGGGATATATTTTGTGATTTGTAGTGGAACACAAATGAAAGGTATATAGTTCTTGTCCTGAGATAATTATGACATTGTAAGAAAGGCATGATCTATACAAATAGTTGAAACAAGAAATAGAGGGGTACAAGAATTCTAATGGGGTGTGTGTATGAAGGGAAAGCTTGATGGTTACCAGCATGGGAGATGAGGAGGCTTACCTGAAGATTGCCACCATATTGACGGCTTGAAGGATGTGTCATCCTTCAGGTTAACAGACAGAAATGGTAAAGGGGATCTCCAGGAAATGGAATCATGCAGGGAAAAGAGAGGGAAGGCTTTGGACGGTGTAAGCTGCCCAGCAGGACTGAAGCAAAGTGGAGAAATAACAATGGTATCTTACATTCTTTTTATTAAGGTTTTACAGTTTTCAATGTATAATTCCTTACACTTCTAGTTAAATTTATCTTTAACTTTTATTTTGTCTTCGGCAGCTATTGTAAATGACACTATCTTGGCTTTTTTTTCTTTCTTTTCCTCCTCTCTTTACTTCTCTTTTCTTTCCATCTTTTTCTCTTTCTCTTTTTTTCTTTCTTTTCTTATTTCCTTCTTTTTCTTACCATCTTTTCTTTCTTTCTCCTTCCTTCCTTCCTTCCTTCCTTCCTTCCTTCCTTCCTTCCTTCCTTCCTTCCTTCCTTCCTTCCTTCCTTCCTCCTCCTTTTCTTTCTTTCTTTCTTTCTTTCTTTCTTTCTTTCTTTCTTTCTTTCTTTCTTTCTTTCTTTCTTTCTTTCTTTCTTTCTAGACAGGCCTCTCTATGTAGCCCTGAATGTCCTGGAACTCATGTATACCAATATGGCCTTGAACTTATAGAGATCTGCCTGCCTCTGCCTCTTGAATGCTGGAACTGAAAGGGTAAGCCACCAATTCCCATCCTGTGTGTGGGTGTGTGTTTAGGTATGTGTATATGGGTGTGTAGGGTTGTGTATTATCTGTAGTTTTTCAGTCAAAAGATTTTGTCCTCAGCAAGTGCTTCAATTCTTCCTTCCTGGCCTGAATGCCTTTTATTATTCTCTCTCACCTATTTTTTTTTTTTTCTGGAAAGGACTTCTCATCCTGTATTTAAAAAAATTAACTTTTTAGAATATTTATTTTTAAAGGTGTGTGTGTGTGTAGACAGTGTGTGCCATCACATGCAGGTAGAGGTCAGAGGGCAATTTGCTGAAGTTGGTTCTCTCCTTCTACCATGTGTGTCCCTTGAATCAAACTCACTTTGTCATCCTTGGCAGCAAGTTGTTTTACTGGCCAAACCACCTCATTGGCCTGCCTTGCACTCCTATTTTTTAAAATAATAAAAAGGATTTTATTTCAATTGCGTGTGTGTGCTCATACATGTGTTTGGATATATGCTAGTGAGCGCATAGTGAGAGGCTAGAGGTTATGGTTCCCTTTCAGGCTAGAGTCACCTGATGTGGGTTCTGGGAATTGAATTTGGGTCCTCCGGAATAGCAGTTAACTCTCTTAGCCATCAAACTAGCACACCAACAATTTTTTCTGCATATAATATGGTTATCTAAAATAAACTAAGCACAAAAAGAAAAATGTCACATGCTTTTTCTTTTTAAAATTCTTTCTTTTATTTTTGAGATTATAATATGATCGCATCATTTCCCTTCCCTTTTCTTCTTCCAAACCCTTCCACACACCTCTCTTGCTCTCTTTCTAATTTATATACTTTTTAAAATTAGTCGTTGCCACACTGTGTATATGTGCGCACACACATTCATAAGTGCAACCTGCTCGGTCCGTATCAGGTTACTTGTATGTGTGTTTCTAGGCCTGACCATTTAGTACTGGATAAACAATTGATGTGCTCTTCCCTGGGGAAGATAATTTTTCCTGTCCTCGGCATTCCTCAGTTGCCTGTAGTTCTTTCTGTAGGGTTGAGGTCTCCTGGGATTTCTCCTATCACTTTGGCATATTTATTCCTATCTTTGTTCAGCTCATGTTTAGGCAGCCATCTTGGTGAGATTTTATGGGTGTATCTTCTGATATTCCTAGCAAATCTCATTGCAAACTCCTTGTTTTCCTGGCTCCTACAATCTTTCCACACCCTCTTCTGCAATGTTCCCTGTGAAATCCCTCATATACTCTCTCCACTGTAGTCAGAAACACCATTATCCACCCAGTTGCTCATATCAGAAGCCTTAGGCTCATCCCAAGGATTCCTCTTTACTTCTCCCTTCACCAGACCTATCAGCAATCCTATTGATTATGTGGAGGATGCTACAAATTCATCCCAATCTTCCATCACACTGACATCTCAGTAGGTCAGATTGTCACACTAGTTTCTACCTTCTCTGTTTGATTTTATTTACTCTTTCCTCTAGCTGTTTCTCTGTGTAACTAAAGGGGATGGCATTTTCTCACTCCCCCCTCTTAACAAGTAGTTCAGTGGTTATTTATTTGAGTTTAGAAAAGTTCTGACTTCTAACCATGGTTCATATGATCTGGTCTCTTCAGAGACCATCATGATTTCACATTTGATTGATGTACATTAATCATCATGGCACTCAAGCCCCTCATACAAGCTAAAATCTTGTTGACTCAGGCAAGCCCAGGTAGCCTTTTTACACATGCTGCCCTATCAGTGAATTTATCCTTTACCTAATTTTCCCAGGGCTAATCTTCCCAGGACTCCTTACTGTCCTTTAGGTATTCTCTCAAATATTCCTTCATGGAGGAAGACTTCTCCATCCTGTCTACAATAGAATCTCTTGTTACTGTATATGTTAGCTACTTATTGTCTCCTTCCTTCCTTTTCTACCATCCTCCCTCCCTCGCCCTTCCTTCCTTCTTCTATTCTTCCTTCTATTCCTTCCTTCTTTCTTTCCTTTCTACTTTATTTTCTCCTTTCCTCCATTCTGTGACAAGGTCTTGTTCCATAGCTATCTGGCTATCTTCAAATTTGAAATCTTTCTGCCTCTGTGTCCTAAGTGCTTGGATTACAGAGATACATCAAATCTGTGCTCCTTGTTTTTTGATATTACCTATATTTATAACAAATACTGTATTACCAGAAGGAGTAAAAGATCTGTTGTTTTATTATCATCCCAACATTTAGCATGATGCTTGCTACCAATAATGGAGAATGCAGTATTTAGAAAATACTTAAAGAACACTTTCAAGATTGTTGTCAAGAAATGGATTGAGAGATAGGGGAATCCCTGACTTGAAGGTAGGCTTCCTAGGATGGGTTTGTGCATGTTTTAGTAAAGGTGAAACTGAAGAAGGAAAGCAAAGTGGCTCTCTGATGGGGTAGGACACTCAAGGAGGCAGAGGAAATGGAATGAGAACACTTATGCAGGTGCTAGCCTTGGCAGGATGAACAGAAAGCTCTTCTGTGGGAGACAATGTCGGCACAGTATGGGTAGGAATCGGGACTGGGAAGGCTTTGACAATGCCTTTAATCACCCTGAAGTACTTGGAAACTTTTGAGGAGAACAAGAAGCCCAGGGGAGGATAAAATACTTGGAACAGTGAGGGTATGGGAGGGTGTCAGGTGCAAGACAGCAAGAGGTCTATGGGTGGAAGAGCCCATCCAGGGCTGTGTGCTGACACCTAGTAGCCAACAGAGTCAAATATCAGCTTCCACAGAACCAGCTCTCAGGCATTTAGGGAATCCTAGAACAACAGCTAGTTTTGGAGAACGTGGACTGGCTGTGTGGGGGACTCCCAGGAGTTGTGAGGAAGTTGTAATTGAACTTCAAAGTTGATCTAGGTGATGTAGCACTTGATTTGCTATCTGGAAAAATACTTAATAGATCTCTAAGACCTTAGCAGTATTCTGATGGTTCCATATTGCAACCAGTTGTCACACACAGAGTATCTCAGCAACTCTCAGTCAGAAGGGCGGGTGGTGACTATTAATTATAGTATGCAATTAACATAGTGGTTTAGGATGCTTGGAATTTTAGAAAGCACTGAGTTTTGGGGAAAAAAAAAACCCTAAATCTAATAATGGAGCGCTGTATGACAGAGACAATAAATAAGGCACCTCTTTTAAATGCCAGTCTCTTCAGAACAGGAGTCCAACATCAAATAAAAAATACAGTTCCTCCTTTGCAGATACCCCGCCAACTGCTGAGTTGTGTAATTCCTTGTCAGATCTTTATATGCATAGGAAATTAGGATGCAAGGGCTGCACATAGTGGAATGGAGCTGGAATCAGACCCAATGTCTCTGTTCATCTTGGGTGACTCATGAGGATGCTTCATAGTTGCATACAGGCTGGGTGGGTGGGGATGACAGGGATTACTGGGTGGGTCCAGGATGATACAAAGAACCAAAGTGTGGTTGGTTAATGGGTTCTGCTTGTACTAAGATATTTTGGATGATTCCTGAATCAAAGTGTTTCATTCTTTTGTATTATATACAATGTTAAAAGTGAATAACAATATATTAGAGTTTTGCTTTGCATAGCTAATATAAAGGACAGCATAATCAATGAAAAAATAAGTCTCCTTATGAGAGAGTCCTATTATTATTTGTAAGTGAGATGATTTTGTAATATTATATTAATGCATGAAAATGCACAGAGAATCTTTCTTCCTTTCTTTCCTGACTTGGGAACAAATTCAGGGATTTTTTTTTTTTTATGGAC